CTCACTCCGTCATGCAGCACTCGGGTCTTGAACTGCCAACCTACCGACCTTCCGGTTTGCAGCTCAGTGTCTTAATCTCTAAGCCACCGCACCCCTCATATACTACATAGGTAAAGGTAAAGGTTTCCCTTGCTCGAAAGCCAGTTGAATCTGACTGTAGGGTTGTGCTGCTCATCTCCGTTTCCAAGCCGAAGAGCCAGCACTGTCCAAAGACGTTTCCGTGGTCATGTGGCCGGCATGACTAAACACCAAGGCGCACGGAACGCTGTTACCTTTCCACCGAAGTGGTACCTATTTATTTACTTGCAATTTCTTTCTTTCGAACTGCTAGGTTGGCAGGAGCTGGAACTAGAGACGGGAGCTCACTCCGTCATGTGGTACACTCGGGTCTCGAACTGCTGAACTACCGACCTTCCACAGCCTGCAGTTCAGCGTCTTAACCACTTGAGCTACCACAGCTCCATTAGCTATATGTACACCCTAATAAACATTTGTCTTTTTTATAATATAGTTTGTAGCTTGACCCTCTTAGTTCGCAGCTGATTTTGGGTTGAATTCCCCCCCCCCCTTTTCAGCTTAAATAAGACCCAGCTCTGGAAACACCTCCCTTCGGCGTTTCTCTGAGGCCTCTAGGAATCAAGCAACACAATAAGTATGTTGAGGAGCTGAATCCTCTAAGAGGAATTGAACCTTTTGCTCTAATGTCGCTAGAGGAAAGAGCCCATTTGTCAATGCATGGCATAATCTGTTTTCGCCTAGGCTGACGCCCATAAGGGCACTGCAAGAGAATACGTGCCAGACAGTCCACTGACTGGAGAAGGTTGGGGGGGGGATCCAAAAATCCCTCTTGGAGGCCTGAGCAGGAAGATATCTCAACTGGTCACAACATTTCATCCCTTCTAGAGGATCTTCAGACCTCATTGGGATGGATTGCAGGTTATTTTGTTTGTTTGTTTGGTTAACTTACAGTCACATTTTTACATGACTGTGGGCGTCCCTCTGCCTATTGAATAGGAGTGTCCTGGTTTTGTCATCCACATCGGGGCCAGCAGCCCGCCGTCTGTTTCTAATCATTAATTGCAGCCACCTTGCTACAACTGTTTCTAATCATTAATTGCAGCCACCTTGCTACAACTTTTCTGTGTGATATACCTATGAACATGTTATGTACTGGGACTGGATCACCCTGATCGAATCACCCTAGAGATTGGCTGAAAAGTACTGAGACTGACGTAGTGATTTCAGCTCATACTTTTATTTCAAGTGAAGAACAAGACAAACTCTACCGGCTCGCAGGCCGGCTTATATTCCCAGTAAACCCCACACCCAAAACACACCCCACACCAGTGATTAGTTATTTACTTAGGTGAGGCGTTCCATAGGTCCTCGCTAGGATCCAAGTCCTCAGATAGGTGTGGGCTAGGATCTGCTCGGGCCATTGTTCTCTGGTGCGAAGCTCGGTGGCTTCGCATGACCGCGTGGAGGCTCAGCCTCGCACGTGGCCGGATCTCAATACATAACACTGGCTGAGCTTGGAGCACAAGAACAATAGCCGACCAGGACTCTGGAATAAACCAACCAAGTATTAATGTTTTGTAAATAGCCTATCATGGGGAATGGGTATGTGTGGGTTGGGCTGTTTTGCATGCAAATAAGCAGGGCTCCGGCCCTGCTAGTCTTGGAGTTAGCTGAAATCACTAATAAACTATGAGCTGATCACGACACACGTCTCGAACCCAGTATATTTCAGAACATGTGCAGAATACTTTTTATGCATCAAAGAAAGCCACTGTCAAGTTTTAGTCCTTCCCCCCATCCCACCCCCAGTGTGGGATGGGGCTATAAGAAGTGCACAGCTCCAGCAGGCTTAAACCCCACAACCTTTCTCTACAGAAAAAGAGGAATGTCCAGGCAGCCATTAAGTTCCATTGCCCTCACACTACCAGGGGAGGGGGGGAATCTAAATACATTTCCCCCTGACCTGGATGGTCAAGACAAGCTGGATTTCATTAGCCTGGAGATGAGACAACTCAGAGGTGGCAGGATAACTATCTTCAAGTACTTGAAGGGCTGTCATAGAGAGGATGGTGTGGAATTTCCCTGTAGCCCCAGGAGATCGGACCAGAACCAGCGTGTTGAAATTAAATCAGAAGAGTTTTCGGGTAAACATTAGGAAGATCTTCCTGATAGTTAGAGCAGTTCCTCAGTGGAACAGGCTTCCTCGTGAGGTGGTGGGCTCTCCTTCTTGGGAGGTTTTCAAGCAGAGGCTAGATGGCCACCTGACAGCCATGCTGATTCTGTAAACTTAGGCAGATCAATAAGAGGGAGGGCAGGAAGGGTTGTCTCGGTGCTTAGTTCTCGTGGCCCTTTCTTACATGGCCAGGGAAATGCCGATCGCCACTCTGGGGTCAGGAAGCCATTTTTCTCCAGGCCAGTTTGGCCGGGGATCCTGGAAGTTTTTGTTTGTTTGTTTGTCAACTTCTGGTCATGGAATAGCGGTCACTGGGGGTGTTGGGGGGGAGGTATTTGTGAATTACCTGCATTGAGCAGGGGGCTGGACTAGATGACCCCAAATGTCCCTTGCAACTCTATGATTCTGTGAGATCTCAGAAGCTAAGCAGGGTCAGCCCTGGACAGTACTTGGATAAAAGTCCACCAAGGAAGTCCAGGGTCACTATGCAGAGGCAGAGAATGGTAAATCACTTCTGAACACTTACTGCTTTGAAACCCCCCCATACGAGGGTCACCGTAAGATGACTGTGACACAACAGCACTTTCCACCACTAAATACATTTCATGAGCAAAATATATCATAAATTGTATACATCCTTTGGGAACTGTCAGACTCCTGCAGCAATCAGACTCAACAACTCGCTTCGTCAGAAGGAAAGTTTATTGAAGCGGTATTGGCAGGGCATCTACTTCAGGAACCGTGTTAGGACTAAAGCATAAAGCCCGGGGTGAACAGATATACATTGTTCAAAGGGGTCAATGGGTGGCGTAGAGCCAATGAGGGGAGAAGAGGGGCCCGCCAAAATGTAATGGTCCCACTTTCCCAGAGAAGGTGTTACGGGGAAGTATTCAAGGCCAAGCACTTAAAACAGACAGATAAGGGAGCATCACTAAGGCAACCAGGAAACTGAAATTACATTCCAAGGAGTGAACGTTCCCCCCCACCACCAGCCTTTATGGCAGCGAGCTGACAGGAACTCTCTATAGACTGAATAAGGACGTTATTCTCTAGTGCTACACTGACCTCCAACTTGGCATCTTTTACTTTAACCTGAGCACTCAGAAGAAAGCAGCAAGAGTCCAGTAGCACCTTGATGACTAACATAATTTATGGCAGGATATGAGCTTTCATGAGTCACAAAGTGAGCAGCGACTCACGAAAGCGCCTCCCCTGCCACACATTTTGTTGGTCTTTTAGGGGCTCCTGCTCTTTTCTGCTGCTACAGGCAGACTAACACGGCCGCTCGTCTTGATATGAGCACTCAGATGATGCCTTTTGAGAAGGGGATTCAGAGTTACACTTCAATATTATTATCGTTTGCCCAAATGTTTAAAGACGTCTTGTATCCTTGGGCGAAACATGACCACTGCCTTTAACAAGGTGCGGCTTTACATCTATACAGTGCAAACAATTTTAGTCAAACAAGACTGGACTGGACAGTGTTATGACTAAAACAGCATATTGAGTTTGAACACCTGGAACCTAAGATGTAGTTTGGTTTATATTAATATAGTAACCTTTAAGAATACCAGACTTACATTTTTCCCCCTTTCTCATTTACAGTTAACTTAGCTCCCTCTCTTTTTGAGTTGCCAGGGTTGGCCTTCCAATGTGGGGTCTCGTTCTCAAGGCAATCAGTTAGCTTCCACACTTCTAAAATTTTGGTACATACCTGCTTGTGGTCAATGCAGCAAGAGGGGTAAATCTGAAAAAATAAATAAAATAACCCCCCTCTCCACTTCTGCTGGGAGAAGTGGCTTATGCCAATGGATAACAGTCATAAGAACAGAAGAAGAGCCTTGCTGGATCAGACCAGAGGTCCATCTAGTCCAGCATCCCATCTCACACAGAGATTTACTGGCGCTGAACATGGTGGTTTCCTTTAGTCACCATGGCTAATAGCCACTGATAAATCTCTGGATGCAGTCCACAAGATGTTCATCAGCTAATTCACTGATACACACATCATTCTTAAATGGCTCCTATCCATAGATCAAGTGCCACCAAGAAAAGAGAAGAGCCACAGGACAGATTACCTACAAGCAAGGGGGTATTGCCCAGCTAGGGCAACTAATTCACTGATGCACAAATCATTCTTAAATGGCTCCTATGTGCCACCAAGAAAACAGAAGAGCCACAGGACAGATTACCTGCAAGCAAGGGGGTATTGCCCAGCTAGGGCAGTGGACAAGCAATATTTATTTTTAAATTTGATTTATATACTGCCCTCCCCATAAGCAAAGATAGTGTGGCATGTAGATTAAATGAGCAAGAGCCCAGTAGCACCATAAAAAGATAAAGGTAAAGGTTCCCTTAATATAATGCAAAAGACAGCGTGGCATGTAGATTAAAAGAGCAAGAGCCCAGTAGCACCATAAAGACTAACAGAACTGGTAGCAAGTATGAGCTTTCGTGAGTCACTGCTCACTTCTTCACCAGAACATCAGAGAAGCCATGTTGGATGAGGCCAGGGGCCCATCCAGTCCAACACTCTGTGTCGCACAGTGGCCAGATCCCAACGCCATCAGGAGGTCCACCAGCAGGGCCAGAAGTCAAGAAGCCCTCCCACTGTTGCCTCCCCAAGCACCAAGAAGACAGAGCATCATTGCCTCAGAGTGTTCCATCTATACTTGGGGCTAACAGCCAATGATGGACCTCTGCTCCTTAAATATAGGAATGGTGACAGCATTAGAAGTGCTTTGCACCAGAGGTTATATAAATAGACCTGGCGCCACTAAGGACGGAACACTTCCCCACCCGCACTCACCTGTCTCCGACAACAATTTTGTTGCTTCCAGCACCTTCTCTGTGTAAACCCCAGCTTCGTAGTTTTCCATCTCGGCGTTAATGATATGGATGACTCTGGCTGCTCGCCCACGGATTGCGCCTGCGGTCCTGTCCAGTGTGTCAACATCTCCCTCTTGCAGTGCAATCACACATTTATTGACATCTTCCAGAATGTGGTTTTCTGCACAAAAGAACACGTCAATTGTTATTCATCAAGAATCTTTTAAGGCACATCTCGACAAATCTCAGGCGCTAGGCCACCATGGCACCTAGAAATGTCACTGTGGCACCTGGTGTTTTCAGCCCTGGTTTTATTGGAGAGTCTGTTAGTAATTCTCAGTGGGACTTCAAAGGACTGGGCTCCACCTTCCCCCCCCCCACTAGTAAAAAATGGAGGATGGGGTCCTCCAAAGCAATGGACTACCAAAAATCTCATGTTTGGGATCATGCAAACTGCATGAACCAAAGCCATGTGCCATAGGGGCTATAATAAGGAGGGGGATTGGCTGAGATGGAGAGAAAGAGGCGGCTGGATGCAAGTCAAAGCATATCTATAATTCTGAATCTGAACATTTTGTTGTAGTTATAAAAAAAGGAATGTGCATGGTTCTTGTCATTGCTTGTTTATATGTAAATTTATAGTACACCATCTGTGATGGACTGCACTTTTTAAAAGGATTAGAAGTGCTGTACCAGCAACTAAAGAACTGTGAAGGGTTAGTTTTTCACAGAGCCAGAAAGCCTTGAGTGGCAGGCTGCTCCAGGCAATCTGACTGGTTGGCATCAGCTGAACAACAACAACAAAAAAGTCTTGCGAGAGCTGGATGCTGAGGAAAGTTAGACAGATTCCTGCCTTAACTGAGAAGAGATGTGTACAGAGACTGTCTAAGTCTAGCCCTGACAGAAAAAGGATTTAGTGCTGACAGAGTCAAATTTATACTTTGACTGAACTCAGTCTGAATTCAGCATTAGCTGAAAGCAGTTTGAACACAGACAGAGAACTGGGGGGGAAGGTGGCAAGGAAGTTTGGGTAGTTGAGAAGACTCAGATTCAGACCAAAAGGAAAGGGGATAGATCTTCTGGAGAGAGAAGAAATTCCCTATCCGGTCAAACAGGGAGTTATCTTTGAAGCCTGCAGAGATCCCTAGTCTGGTATGATAAGAAACTGCCTGTAGAGACCTTAAAAGTCAGTGAATTACTCAAGAAGAGTACTGGTGTTCCAAGAGAAGGGGTTTGGGTACTAGGAAGAGGGTACCAGTCTTCTAGGCACCAAAAGAGTCAGCAATTATACAAATAAAGCGTACTTGAGTGTTTGCTAAATAACTGGAACAAAAGCTTCTCAATATAAAGATCTCAGTAACTGTAAATAATTTAAGAACCTCTCATTAGTCTGATATATGAGAACAAAAGTCCGTGCTTGTACTAGTTTTACCTCAGTAATGTCAACCCTTGATTTCACCTGACCTTTTCCCACAATGTTAAATAAAAACTTTTGTTATTTTTGAATTTTAAAAGCATCTCAAGTGCCATTTTCAGGGGGTTAAGTTAAAATACGATCCTATTCCCTCCCCCAGGTTCCTGGGTTGAGCAAATAGCCAAAATATATCTGACAGGGTGGGGCAGCCAAAGGTTCTTCAGGGGAGAACATGCTACCTGGGCTGCTTAGTCAGTGAAGGGCCAGAAAAACGGAGACAAAATCTAGCCTCTGAGGGTGGGAAGGGGAGCGGAAGGGGAGCATCATACCATCCAGCAGTGGTGAATGCATAATATATGAGAATACACAAAACTGCCTTATACTGAATCAGACCATTGGTCCATCGAGGTCAGTATTGTCTACTCAGACTGGCAGTGGCTCTCCAGGGTCTCAGGCAGAAGTTTTTCCCATCATCTATGACTTTAACTAGGGATTCCAAGAACTGAGCCTGGGAACTTCTGCATGCCAAGCAGATGCTCTGCCATCGAGTCATGGTCCTATACTACAGCATTTCTTTCCTAGCTTTAATAAAATTTTGAATGGATTAGGATTAGGTTTTGTGGTAGCAATAATGAGAAAATTTGGCCATTAAAATACAAAACCCGAAAGCTGAAAAATAAGCCTAGCTTCTAAAATTTTGGGCTAGCATTTACAGCCAAAGGGGGAGGGAATCAGGGCCTGTTTTGAGGTGGCAAAACATGTTAACATCTCTAACTCTCTTGATCAGTTCTCTCTTCATATGGTCCCCAAGAGGTTGGATCCAAAGGTCGTTTGCTGCTGGCAAAACGCACTTCTAGCAGCAGAAGGAGAGGGTGATTTTCTCAGAATCCCCCCTTTTATCACAGACCCAATTTTTCTCCCTACAGTTCCTAAGGGATCTCTTTCACAGAAGCAGCACTTAGGGGAGTTTAGTGGACAAGGAAGAATGTGTGAAAAATCCCTCCCACCAGCAAAAGCGCCTGATGGTGGATCCAACGCAATGATCCCTAACTTAGAAGATGGGCTGTATGTGGAATGAATCCATAGCTGACCGAGTTTTTCGACAGGGAAGGGCTGTGGCTCAGTGGCAGAACATCTGCTTTGCATGCAGAAGGTCCCGGGTTTGATCCCCAACATCTCCCACTGAAGAAAGCATCAGGCAGTAGGTGATGTGAAAGACTTCAGCCTGAGACCGCCCCCCCCCCAGACAGCCCCTGTCAATCTAAGTAGACAATATTGACTTTGATGGTCCAGGAGTCTGATTCAGTGTAAGGCAGCTTCATGTGTTCTCTGTATATCGATGTTCAAGGCTGTGCGGAGGCAACCTGCAACTGTGCACGTTGAGAAGTGTGCTGGAGAAACATTTTGCTGCACTGGCCCATCTTGGAAGGACGGACACTTCACCTGCACAATATTCGACTTAAATGTTCAGCCTGATGGCTAATGGAGGTAGAGAGACCATAGCACATTCCTCCCGGGAGGCAAACCAGAGTCTGAAAGGCTGACGCTCGACACCCTGGGCTCACGTCAAGTGAAGAGGAACTCTGCTGAGTGTAGCAGTGGGAATGCCGGTTACCATGACTCCCAGTCTCCCTCGGCAGCGGCCTAGCCTTCATTATTTTCATCAGCCTTGGGTTAATTTTATTCCCTTTTTTTTTCTTTCCAAAACTAGCAAATCCTCCTTAAAGAAAAAAGCAAATCATGCACTCCGGGGAAATTATGCATTCCACTTGACTTATTTTGCATAAGCTCGCTTTATTTGAATACTCGGCTTGTCTTGGGAGTTTACACACAATTTCAGGGGGGGTGTTTCGCTTTGTTTGGTATCGGTTGGAATGTGGCATGATAGTGGGAAGGATTTAATAATGAGGCCTCCTCTCCCCCAAAGGAATGGCAATATACAGATTTTGGCACTGGGGGGGGGCAATAGAGAGACAGGTGAATGTAACTTTCGAGAGAGCGAATGGATGGGTCCGAGAACATAAGAACCTAAGAGACGCCAATTGGGGCCAGGGCACTAGAAGCCCTCCCGCTGTTGTCCCCCCCCCCCAAGCACCAAGCATCCCTTGCCCCAGACTGAGAGTTCCTATCTATAAGAACATCAGAGAAGCCAATGTTGGATCAGGCCAGTGGCCCATCCAGTCCAACACTCTGTATCACACAGTGGCCAAAAATACCAGGTGCCAACAGGAGGTCCACCAGTGGGGCCAGGACACTAGAAGCCCTCCCACTGTTGCCCCCCCCCCCGAGCACCAAGAATACAGAGCATCCCTTGCCGCAGACTGAGAGTTCCATCTATAAGAACATAAGAGACGCCAATGTTGGATCAGGCCAAAGGCTCATCCAGTCCAACACTCTGTGTCACACAGTGGCCAGAAATACCAGGTGCCATCAGGAGGTCCACCAGTGGGGCCAGGACATTAGAAGCCCTCCCACTGTTGACCCCCCCCCAGGAGGGGTTGTGGCTCAGTGGTAGAGTGTCTGCTTGGCATGCAGAAGGTCCAGGCACCCGTTTTCAACTTTGAGGACCGGGCAATTAAATAGGGTTACCATATTTTGAAAAGCAATAAAGAGGACATATTTCCCAACTGACTACTTCAAACAAGGGATCACTGTTACAATTTTAAATACCCCTACTATTGAAGCTGTGATAATTGCTACTGATTAGAAATATGCCTACCCTTCCCCACCCAAAAAGAGGACATTTTCATCAGTTTTTAGGAAAAGTCTAAGAAAGGATGGACACCAAAAAAAGAGGGCATGTCATCTAAAAAGAGGACATCTGGTAATCTTAAATTAAATACTTAACTCAAACTGAGAGAACACTTTATGCATGTAGGGTATTTATATGCCATCTCTTCAGAGCCCTGTGCAAGGCAGCTTAACGTGTGGAGGACTGGCAAAAACTTGCCGGGGGGGGCATCCCATTTCCCCTGCATCCCCTCCCCCACTATTTATTCTTTCCTTTCTCCTGACAGCCCCCTTACCATCTCCCCTTTCCCTAAGCTATATTTATTAAATATATAAATATAGATATAAACAATAAATTATTATTTATATTTATAATTATAAACCTTTCTCCGCAATTGGGCAACCCCCACCAAAGTGTGGGGGTCTGGCAAGCCTAACTAAGGTAAAAAGGTAAAGGTAAAGGTTCCCTTGCTCAAAAGCCAGTCGAATCTGACTCTAGGGTTGCGGTGCTCATCTCCGTTTCAAAGCCGAAGAGCCAGCACTGTCCGAAGACATCTCCATGGTCATGTGGCCGGCATGACTAAACACCAAGGTGCACAGAACACTGTTACCTTCCCACTGAAGTGGTACCTATTTATTTACTTGCAATTTCTTGCTTTCGAACTGCTAGGTTGGCAGGTCCTGGAACTAGAGATGGGAGCTCACTCTGTCATGCGGCACACTCGGGTCTTGAACTGCTGAACTACCGACCTTCCACAGCCTGCAGTTCAGCGTCTTAACCACTTGAGCCACCACAGCTCCTCTAACTAAGGTAGCTAGTAACATATCCTCCATGAATCTGTCTAATCTCCTTAAGGTGTATATGCCCGTGGCCATCACTATATCTTCTGGAAGTGAATTCCACATTTCAATCACTTGCTGTGTAAAGAAGTATTTCCTTTTGTCCATCCTCAAAACAACCCGGTGAGGTAAGTTAGACTGGGGGTGTGTCTAGCCCGAGGTCACCCAGTGAGCCTCTACGGCAGAGTGGGAATTCA